CCCTTGGAATGGGGGGGGGGGATGAAATATATTTTAACTTATTAAAAAAAATTCTAGATAGTTCTAACATCCCAAACGATATGTTAGATATTATGTTAAGACTTCTGAGCGCAAGTAGATGACAATGGCATTGGTATGTTCAATCAAAGATGAGTAGCCTTACAGATGTTGATTGTTTTTAATGGTCCATTGAATTAAACAAATATTTACCCAAATTCTCCTTAAGTTGATAGGAATAAAGACTGACGATCTTTGGCTTTTTTATCCTCAAGATAAGAAAAGAAGCAGAATGTTCTTCAAAAAAATATGAAAGAAAAGCGATAAATCGTAAAAAATAACAAAGAAAAATGAAAATCAACGCAACTATGAAACGAAATTGTATGAAAACACAATGGTTACACCAACTCCATTCTCAACGAAAAGGAAGAGAACAATACAAGAAGAAAGAAGAGATAAAGAAAGAAACAAACTCGAGCTCTGCTCATTTCTATTTCTCTATTTCACAACTAAGAAGGGGGACAAAATGCATGTTTACCTGCACGATCTTTATCTCTGGTATATTCATACGCCCCAGCCCAGCGCACGGCCTCCACGATAACAGACCGTTTTGAACGTCACAGTTTTCGAGTGTTTGTTGGTTTAGTGATCGGAACGCTGTCACACACACTTTAACAGGTTATGAAATGTTTTTGAAAATTGTCGATTAATTGGGCACGTTCTGTAAGGCGGTGTTTTTCGCGAGTCCATTACAAGTTGCCGTCTAGTTCCAAGATGGCGGACGCTGTTTAGCATCGGGGTCAAATGTCGTCGGCAGCGCTCTGAGCCAGACAGGAAGCGGCAATATCTCGGCTAGTTGAGAACAAGGGAGGAGAGGTGCACAGGAAAAGGAAAGGAGGAGGGGGGGAGGAGGGAGCACGGGTGAAGGGGGGGGGGGGGGGGGGATGGGGTGCTCTATGCTTTTCGTCGATACACACAAGTTAGATGGGGTATGCTTGAAGAAATAAAAAGGACACTTGTAATAGAAAAGCAGTTACAAGTGTTGTACTCTACTGACTGCTCAGCACAAAATGGTACTGAATCGTTTATCCAATAGTTTCCTTTAGATCTTCGTCTTCGCGAAAGGGGACAGTCTAAGGATTCGCGCTTTTTAAATGAGACTTGTAGAGTGCCATTCATGTACTTAGTGTAGTTCACTTTATGTGCAGACTGCACTCATGAGATTATACTAAAAACTGTTTATGGTCTTCCAATTCATTGTAATTGCCTTTTCTATCTTCTCTTCTATTTTTTGCAGGATACTCAGTGCACCCGAGCGAGTCGTAGAGGATAACATAGCGTTTTGCACAAGGTCTCACATAAATCATAATGAATTCTGAGTGGGGTTTTAGATCAACAGCGATAGAATCCAAATGGGCAACTCGGTCCTTCATAACCATAGCAACGGCTGTTGATTACTACAGCAAAGCGAAGATACAATACTTTGGCAGTTACAGAGGACATGGCGCTGCTAAGGAAACGCCTATTGCAAGTTGTCACACACGGACATTTGTCTTGGGGAAGCCAAGTCTGAACAAAAAAATTAAGAGGACAGAAAGGAATGAAAAGGCGATTTTTTTAAAAGAACGCTCAACACGAACTGATAAGGAGAGTAACAATACAAAGGTCGTAATGATAATTTCTCTGTCGTTAATTTCTCGCGTAAAATGAGGCGGAAAAAGAATTGCAGCAGAGGCGGTGAAAGCAGGAGTTATTGAGTGCAAACTTACTTTTCATTCTCCGTGCTCAGCTCGCTGGGGCTGCGTTTCGTGACACAAGAGCTCCTTCTTGTGCCACGTCGGAGCTGTAGACAGCAGGTTCAACTTCCGAATGACGTATGTCTCTCGTGCAAGTTTTTGTTGACGCCGACAGTCGTGCTTACTTACAGGCCGACACTGCTGAACATGCTGTCATTTCACAGCAATAACAATATCTCTGCTGTTGATGCTGTTGCTGCTCCTACTGCTGCTGCTGCTGCTGTGTTGTTTTTCGCGGACCGTAGTGAAAGCCTACCTAGGCCAGGGCCCCCGCGACAGGCAGCCATGATCCTTGGTCCCATTGGTTGCTTCGTAAAGCCTGTGGCTTTAAGATTTTCAGCTAGCCCAGGCCGGAAGCCTGCCTTAATCCGCGTGGATTTAGCACAACAATTAAGCAGAACACACGGCCCGGTCCGGTGTGTATGTGTCAGCTATGTGTCGGCCTAAGATAGGCGTTAGGGGGATAGGATGAAGGAGAGGCGGGGAGGGGAGGGAGGGGAGGG